ATAAAGTACACTGCTGAGGGGAGCAGCGGGTGGGTCAGGAGAGGTCTGCCACGCCATGTGGGTCACCTCTGGGGCCAGGAATCAAACTCGCACTGAAGCAGCTATGGCTAGCTCGCAGTGCTGTGTCCTAACCCAATGCACTACCAGAGAGGGCCCTAGTTCCAAATTCTTTAGAAAATATATAAAACAAAAATTTTCTGAGTGAGGTTGACTTGATTTATAGCCTGTTTTTCTTTTCCATAGTGTGGATTCTTTGACAGAGCAAGACCCCCTAAAGATGATATGACTGACTGGGAACAACTAACAAATGAGAAAACCCCTGAGGCATGAAAAGGAAAAGCAAAGCCCTAAAAACTCAATGTTGGTCCAGTTCAAAGAAAAGAAGGGACAATCGGCTTAAACAAGGATTTTCCTGTACATTTCCTGTGACCTAGGAAATGCAAAAGCCCTGGAAAATAGCATTTCATCTATACCATGCTTTGGAGAAGTTGCCATGGAGACCAGAAACCCCTTTGAGAAAGGAAACATCTTCTACACGCTAAGAACAATCAGCAAATGTGGCGGATTTCTTTTGCTTTTGTCATCCTGTGTTGGGTAGACACTTTGAAATGGGTCTGGGAACAGAGCTTGCTTTCCAGGTAAATGCAACTTAAGCCAGAAAGATGAAAATACTGTCTGAATTACTGTAGAATTTAGAGGGTGAACTAGGACCAAACCGTCCAACACTACTGTACCCAGTGGAATATTTGACACCTCCCAATGGATAAGAAACACTTCTAAGCGATGCTGTGGCTCAGGGAGACAAGCCTATTTTATTAGTGCTGTGAAAGTCCTTCTGAAACGACAAAGATAGTCTTGTGAGGACAGCAACTTATTTATTTATATTCCACTTCTCTAGGCTGATATTCTGGGCATCTAGAGGATTTGGAAGTTAAGGTTTGCTTAGCTAGCTTTTCAAATCACTCACCAAATTTCCTACTAAAGTAAGCATTTTCTGCAGCTAGATCTACAGATCTTCTGGATTTAGACAGTGTTATGGAACAGCCAGTTGGTGTTAGGATACAGTTTCACCCAACACCTTGCTACCTTCCTTATAAAATTCTACTTTCTGAAGACTCTCATCTGTTTAATTTACCTTTTCACAAAGTTGCATTTTATATTTCCTTTTATTAAAAACATTGACTTAAATAATTATTAATTATTTCCATTGACTTAATTAATAAAGCATAAATATATAGGTACTCTCCACCCAGTAGAGTGTTTCAAAGTAATGGTAAAATTTCTAGATTCTCTTAGTAAAAAAGCAATTTAACACATCAGTAAACATAACATTATTAATATCTTTAAGAAGCAAAAACAATATTTAGTTTGGGGCCAAATATCTATTTTTCTCTACTATAGCTTAAACTTGCATACACAGATAAAATATGTTAAACATAAGTAGGAAGGAAATATAAAATTATGCAAATGTGAGGTGAATCTAGAAAGTGGATTTCTAAGAATTTTCTTTAGAATTGCCTGTTCCATCTTTACTATTCATTTTTGCTGCCAATCTTTATATTATATAACTTCAGAACATAATCTTTATTTAAGCCCTCTTCCCACCATCTTGAATTTAACCATCTTGATATTTAAAACTCTTGTAAATAATCCATAACCATGTAATAATGCTATTTTGAAGTAAAATTAACCAACCAAATTCATTTAGTCTGCACAATTCTGTATCCTTTTATAATGATGAAAAATTACTATGAAGAAATGCTCAACAAATTTTTATATTGATGTGCAATATTTTATAGACCTATGTATCTAAAGCATGTTTACACTGGCATTAGTTATTTTTAATTAATATCCCAAATATTAAGTATGATAGAACAAAGAACCAAATTCCTAAAGTTTACAAAGCAGTTTAAAATTTGTATCCCAAATTTCAACAATCACACTTGATTTGAAAGATGAGTCAAATCCAGAGACACTAAATTTTCTCATGCCTTAACCTGGAAACAAGCCATTTGGCTCTGACTGCAGAACTCATTGGGAACCAAATGAAAGGCACATGGAAGGACACACTGGTGTACAGTCTCGCTGGTGAATTAAATCCTGTCATGGTAGCAATTTCCAGTCTGTCAGGAACCAAAATCTGGCTCTCAAAGTGTGTTCCTGATTTTAGGAGAGAATCACATGGGTCTCACAACAACCTCTGGGGGTCTTATTTGTTAGTCCTCTAGTCAAAATTGGTTTTACAGAACAGTCTTGTATCCAGTATGATGAGAAGGATGTCTGATAGAGGGTTCTACGCCCTCCTCTCCCCACCACCAAGTACTGCCATCATTTCTTTCAAAGTACCTGACCTTTGACCAATAGAGATTAGATCCTCAGAATCTTTTTAAAGCTTTTTGAAAGAACACACCCCTTGTTTGTTAACATTGATGAAAGAACTCAGAAAGAACTCTGAGGGTTGGACCCTGTGATGGGTGAAACAGCCGCCTGGAAGACACTAAACCTGCCATGAGGAGACCTGGGACCCAGGACAGAACAAGGTATGAGGATTCAGAGACAAGCTCCCTCCTCTTCACAGTCGCAGCCAGCAGGTGTCCTGTTCTAGCGGGATGGTCGTTGTGACCCAAAGACATCTCATAAGCCTCACGTGCAGTGGCCCCCTCTGTCACTTCAGATGTGGAAACAAGAAAGGGGACAGCTGAGGTCCCCATCATCAGTACTTGAGCACCCCCTCCTCATGGAAAATGCTCTGCCAATGCACCTGTGTGTCCGCTTCTATCCTGGCATCACCAATTGCCCCCATAATTCATAATCTGCCATGCTTCTCTTCAAATCTATCTCTATCTTAGGCGTTCCTCTTACAATTCTTGCCTTTGGCTTTTGAAATGTGGAAACAATAGGCCAATCTGGCTTTATAAACCTGCAGTTTTTCATACAGTAAACGAATGACTTGTCCTAGCTGGCACTGAAACCTCTTTGTGCACAACTTTTTCTCATTTATTTAAAAATATATGTAGATATTTGTGAAGGCTTTCATGTATGTATTTACCTTGTCACTAATAAACCTAAGGACAGTATGATGTACTTGTGATTTGTTTCACAAACAATGTAAAACGTCCCACAGCAGCAGACATCAAAGGTTTCTGTCTTTACACCTTGCCTCTTTATCACAAAAACATTAAACATGGGAAGAAATTTGAAAGAGCAAATGTACAAACCCCCTCTGGGATGATAAAATGTTCTAAATTTTGTGGTGATGTTTAAACAACTCCATGAATGTACTAAAAAAAAAAAAAAATACTGAATTGTGTCCCTCCCTGGTGGCGCAATCGGTTAGGACGCTTCAGTGCAAGTTCGATCATAGCCCTGGAGGTAATGCACATGGTGTGGCAGACCTCTCCTGACTTCCCACTGCTTGTTCTGCTCCCCATTGTTTCTGGTGAATTCTCTCACCGCCCTGCACCTCTGGCCTGTACCCCAGTTCTGTATGCATAAATCTTAAAAAAAATACTGAATGTATAAATTGGGTAAGTTTTAAGGTATATTATAAAATAGCAATAAAGAAGGTTTTTGAGAGTTTTTATTAAAGTAACATGGGTTAACAACACTGTATGTGATGCAGGGGAATAGGTTAACACCTCCCTTGATGTATGTCACGACACCACCCTCACCACCTGGCACCACCTTCACCATATACCTCTGGCCCTTCCCCCTTTCATCCCTTCTAGTCACTTCGAATTTGCTATCCTATCTTTAGGGTCTGTTTTGTCAATTCCTTGTTTCACTTCGCTATATTCCACTTACAAATGTAACTATCTGATATTTTTCTTTTTCCTTCTGGCTTATTGGGCTTAACAAAATCCCCTCCACTTTTATTATCACAAATCACAAGATTTCACCTTTTTTTATAAAGCTCAGTAGTATTCCATCATGAATATAGAGGTTTTTTAAAGTTTAAGTCATTTATACGTTTAACCATTATACAACTGATCCCCCCCACCATGCTTTTCCAGTTTTCTCAATATATAACTCTTAGTTCTTTTATGAAGTCTTCTCTTATGTTTCATAGTCAGTCAACATCAATGGCAGTTCATAAATTACTGTAATTTTCCATTTGTTCAAGTTACTATTTTCCAGCAGGCCAGATCCTCAATGAGGACAGGAACTATATCGTTCCACCTTTGGGTCTCCCACACCTAGCACCCACATCTGGCATATGTAGTCAGTGCTCAAAAACATTTGTAAAATGAGCCAATGGATATGCAAAGGACTAACCATGGAGAACATGTACTTCTGTAATCTGCTTCGATTGCAAAGCCCCAGGGCACACACATGTGGACATGTTCCTATTTATAGTGTCCGTAAAATGTTGCTGTAATAGTTACCCAATGTCCAATTCAATTAATGGACCTTCATTTGTTTAACCATCCTGAGAATAGTTGTCCACATAGTCATATATTAAAAAATAATATTAAATTGAATCCTTTCATACATGAAGCTTCTTATGGTTATTTCAACAAATGAACTTTATGAGCGTGAGACTGCTTGGTCAAAGTACATGATAATTTTTATAGCTCTTGGTAACATATTGCTACTTAAGAGCACTAGCTAAACCTATCACCTAAGTATACCATTCCCTTAATAATTCTTTCAGAGGTTTAAAATATTTTGGTAGTTGTTTTCAAATACTACTTTAATTTTACAGTTTACTAGGATTCAGTAAATGTAATGTACATGTTTAATTTTGAATTTTAGTATCTGTTAACCATTGAATAGTAACTAATTTATTGGTCAGATCTCATAAGATATTTCTTAAATAGCTGCCACTTCTCTGGGGTTTCCTTTCATGATTCCTACTGAAAGGAAACCAGTGCTGGGTTCCTTCCCGATATCCTAAAGTAAACCATGGGGTAAATCCTTCACTTCATACTGCATATCATTCACACTTCAAAGCCCAGACATAAGTAAAGACTTATGTTGGTCCAGAGGTGCCTATGTGTCCCAGATGAAAAAATGAAAAACCAAATGTAAGGATTTAGTAATATTGGTGCTGAAGATCAAAGCACCATTCCAGTACAAACTGAGTAGGGCAAGATCTCCCTGCAGAACTCACAAAAGGATCTATTCTGGGTCAGTTCCCCTGGCTAAAGTCCATGCTTGCTTATAGTGAAGGACAATGGCACTTTTACCATGTCTTTTGTAAGTAGTAAAATCCTTTGTTAGCTGGATAGGTGCAAGTGATCTTTGTCAAGTCCAGCCATTATGTATATAGTCACTTAATTATGTCAAGAATTTCTAAACACAGTTGAAATTTTGTGCCTATCAGGTGCAAACTGAGATCAGGATGCAGAGTTGCAAAACTCTATGCAAGATAGAATTGCCTTTGACAAATAAAAGATTTTTTTTTTCCTTTAGAATTCTGATGTATTAAAAGGTAGATTTCTTTAGCATGGGAAATTTAAAGAATTAAATAAAACTATAACTCCAGTGATGTTTAAGTCGATGGTAAGTTCAGAGTAGCCAGCACAGCACAGTATGCATCAGGCACAACTCTGCTCCTGTGTTAAACTTACCCCCTAAATGCCATCTGCCTGACACAAGGCCTTTTGGAATTGTTTATGAGCAAGTTCTGTTATTTATGATTGTTGGCCAAAATCCATATGGAAATGTAGCCTGATACTAGTGCTTCTTGACAATAAAAAGTCTTGATTTTAACCTCTATTGGCGCCATGATAGGACACAGTAGGGATGTTCTTAATATAGCCATGCTGTTGCTTATTTTGATTTTTCAGTATGTTGTACAAACAATCAAGTCATCAAAAAATTGTCCTCTATCCAGCCTTTAAGTGGGACTTTAA